AACCGAACAGCAACCTCAAGTGCTCCAACTGTTCCGGCGCACACGGCGCGAGATACATGGGCTGCCCGTATCTCCAGCAGTGCAAGAAGTCACTAAGAACCGCCCACGAAACAGCTAGAAAGAGATACGTGGCACCCAGGTCCCCAGTAGCACCCGCCGACAAGAAGAAAGGGAGGAGAGAAGAAAGGAAACCGAAGCACTCAAGGAAGCCCGAGAATGCACTTGTAAAGAAGTCACCCTGATGATCCAGGCAAAAGCAGAAGCCGAAGCTGCAGTGCTGGCAGCAAGAACGGAGCGTGTCCTGCTAGAGAAAGAAAGAGAGGCCTCCAGCAAAGTTGTAAAGAAACCAAGTGTCAGCATTGCCGACAAATTCACATCCACAGACAACATAACGCAAATGATCGACAACAGCACAACCACCAAAGCCGTAATCACAGCCCCAGAAGCAGGAACACAAATTGATGATGAAATCCTTGAGAGCATGGAGGCCACATTTAAAGAAATGCTCCAAAGCGCGAACAAAGAGATATCCCCACACAGACTGGAGGCGTCATCACACTCAGTGCACCTTCACACAGACCAGAAAAGGGCGAACGAAGAGTCTCAAATGATAAAAGGTGACTACTTGAGAGCGCGCTATCCTAGAATCAAACTACTCGAAGAACTAAGGGAAACATTAGCCAAAATAGTGAAAAGGAGAGAGGAGGTGCGGAGATTAGCAACAACAACCGATGTTGAAGCAGAGAAGGAAGAGGAGATTAACACACCACCAAGCCACAAGTAGTACAAGTGAGGCAAACGGTGGCGCCTCCAGTACTAGAAGTCGTACTGTCCCTCCCGTGGATAGCCAGCACCACCCATCCGGAGCCCCGCCCACCTGCAACGGCGCCATGGGCGAATAACTACGCAAATTCCACTGAGCTAACCGAAAATTTTAACTTACTATATTTTCAGGAATAAGAAGACAGCGGAAACTAACACAGGCCACCCCACGCTCCAAAGCAGATAGCCGAGGGCATTGCACCTAACAGGACCAGCACTTGGAAATCCCAGTCTCTCTTATGCCACCCCACCCCACACCACATGTATTTTAACGAATGCCTTTCACTTTTATTTCAGACTAAGGGACCTCAACCCACCAGAAGCGGAACCTATCTCTCTCAATCTATCTGTCGCTCTCAATCTTCCTACCTAACTATCACATCTCCTGGCACATTCGAGCAAATTAGATCCTTCATTTGCAGCCTATCTTACTACCACTACTTCTCCACACTCCGTGAAAAAAAAAACGAGCTGATTACAACAACAGATTGTGACAGCCCTGGTTGTCCTGAAAAGGAGCATCGTTTGAGACGTTGTGGCCCGGTGTTTGTTTGGCTTTTCACGGCGGCTTTACAGAACGGCAACCAAGCAGCAACAGGGCACCAGCACAGCGATCAGCACGTGGCAAACCAAGCACCAGCAACAGTCAGCTAATACCCGTAGATATTATAACTAAGAGAACTGGACCACACCAGACCCAAAAACCACAAGCACCACAGCGCATCAAGGAAGCAAAGAACCGGAATATCATACACACCACAAATAAAAGGAAATCAAATAAGACAGCTAAGGAACCTTCCTTCATATAGCAGGCCGTCGGGCGGCTGAAAAAGGATCAAATTTGGAATTTTTGTTGGACGAATTGGAATTGGAAGAAGGCCAACCAGAGAGACGAGTGGGAGGCTGGCGATATCTGCAGCAATGAACCTTAAGAGCTCAAAACTCTGAAGAAAAAGAAGACTGTTACAAAGTAACCTGAGCTTCAGACATGGTAGAGATGGTAATCAATAAGCCGCTAGATTCTGACTGACTGACATTCATTCTCACCAGGACCGCAAGACGAACGATAAACACCTGGCGACGCAAATTGCCACCATTTGGACGAGAATTACCCAGGGACAGTTACAGGAAGCTCCGTTCAACCTATAGGTTGTATTTATGGCACCGGAGTACAGCCGGGTGGAGCTTTAAAATTTTAAAAATTGCGTCCCACACTGGGACAGGATTGTGTTAGATTGTGCCGAGACTTCCGTTAACACGGGGCAGTGATTGACATTTTTTATGTTTTTTTACCGCCTGGGGAATGTAGCTATTAAGTTTAAACCCGTTTGCATTTTGAAAAAGACTAGCCAACAACTGGATTGCGGTACAAGCCGCATAAATAGCAATGGCTTTGAGTTTTCACACAGCTACAATAGTTTAAACTTGAGTTATTTCCCTTCACTCGAAAAAATATTTCAGTTGTACATGGCTATGAACAAAATCCGTGGTGTAGACACTTCCCTAAAGATTGGGAGGTCGGAATACTGACGGAACCGGGCTGTCTTCAAAAATGACATTGGCTACTAGGTTGACAAAGCCTTGAGTGGGTACCAGGTGCAGTCCTGGGAAGTAAAAGCAGCTGGCGTGTTGACCACATCACCCACCAAGTGCCAATTGGTCCATAAAATATAGGCCTAGCCTTATGGGAAAAGGGTCCTTTGCTTTCATAAACATTTTTTTTAAATCACAAATGATAACCGGGACTAAAAGAAACACGTCCCAATATATAGTTCATCATCCTATTGTGCCATTATACAGCTGTCAGGGCTCACACATCCCTCATTCTACTTCATCATGTGCAACCTTTCGCATATCATGAATGGATTCAAGTCTTGCACCCCTGGCCACTCTAAACAACATTCGTCTTAGGATTTCTCCAGGACACCCACATTTTCCAGTCCATTTGTTTCCCATTTCAGTGTCTGTTTGGTTATTCTCTATTTCGCTTCATGATGGACCCCCTGTACTGCCATTTTCTTTGTTTTATAACTGTTCAAACGAAAGTGGTTGTCTAGGCATTTCTCTTATCTCTTCACTTTTCTTGAATTCATCAGACGGTCTTCAAAGCTTTTATAGCAGTGTTTTTCAATCTTTTCTTAGTCGCGGTGCCTTTCTTCGATTAAATTTTTTCCACTGCGCCCTAACCTAAGTATGACTTTTTGAATGCAAGAGATAAAAAAAAATTTTAATCCGTGTATCTTCGAATATTCCGCGGCGCTCCTGTGAAAAGTTAGCAGCACCCTGGGGCGCCGTGGCGCATAGTTTGGGAATCACTGTTTAATAGTAAACACTGGGCTTCAATCATGAACAGCTGGCAATATTGGTCCCGAATAGTATTTTGTCTCACAGTGTACAAGTTAAACCTTAACTTCTTCTTCCTTCTTCTGCATTCACCCTGAAAAGGGATGGGAGTTTGTACACTATGTTGTGGTTTACAGCTAGGCCATGATGTCTGCACATTTCAGCCCAACACATCCAATTTCAACGGACCTAGAATTATTCGCCTTTTATGACATGCTTCTTGGGGTGGAGGGGGATAGGACTTAAAGAGTTCGGTGTTGATTTTTCTGGAAACATTTCAGTTGATCTGCTGTAAAGGGTCTCATAAAGAGTTCGGTCTGTCCTTTCAATTTATTCTTCTTTGTGTAAAATATTTCTTCAATTTTTATATAATTTTTTTGATTTCTCTTATCCATCTCCCCAAAACAGGCAAATAAATAATAATAAAGCGGGATAAACAAACAAAAGTATTAAAGTGAGAATACAAAAGGCAATAGCAGCTTTCATGGCATCAGTGCATTTTTGGAAGACAAAAGAAAGTTATTCAGAAATGAACTTAAAATACAAGGTCCGACAATTAGGTAATGAGACTGATTGTATTATGGCCAAGACATAAATACCATATACGAAGCAAAGCAGGAAATCCAAAGAGGCTTTGTCTATGATCTGGCAACTTTTTATCGCCGCCAGATAAGCAGACAAAAAACAAGCCGCCATTTTGTCAGAGGTGCATTGTTACGTAATCAGCATGGGGGAAGGGGGGGGGTGGGTGGGGGGGGGGAGCTAACATTAAGTTCTGTTTAAAAATCAGAAAAAGCGCCATTGCGACAGTTGAACTGATGCGACAAGTTTATGGGGATAAATGTTTATCTCGTGCACAGATTTGCAGCTGGTATTCATGATTCAAAAGTGATGTGGAAATGATTACTAAAGCAACTAGACCGGGACGCCCAATTTCTGTTCGTAATGAGGAACTCATTGCAAAATTTTGATAAAAGATAAAAGAAGATCGTTGTTCGACTGTGAGGATGATGGTAGATTAATTTGGTGTTAATACAGAGACTATTCTTAAAATTGTAGTGGAAGATATGGACAAGAAAAAAGTTGCTTATCGGTTTGTAATCAACACCTGGCAATTTGTTTTCCTTCTTCATGACAACAAGGGCGGTAGCTGTACGGGAATTTTCGGCCTAAAAACAGATGCGTGTTCTCAACCATCCACCCTATTGCCCAGATTTGTCTCCCTGTGACTATTTTCTATTCCCAAAATTAAAGTAACCATTGAAAGGACGCTTCTTTGACAATATTTATGGCATCCAAAGGGCCTTAACATCGACTTTAAGGGCCATAACAATAGATGAACTACAGAGGTCGTTCCAGTGCTTGTTAGATCGTGCCACTAGTTGAATTAATGCACAAGAGGCTTACTTTGAATAAAATCAACGTTATACCTTCAACTGTTGATTATTTTAATTTTTATGGAATTAGTCTCATTACCAAATTGTCGGAACTTGTATCTAACTCTTAACAAACAAACAGCACTGTTGTATGGAACAGAAAGGACTGAAACAATTACTCTTCAATTATAACATTCCGTCAGCTTTATCCGTCATCCCTTGTGGGATGCAATTTTTCTTTATTTTGAAGCCCCACCCTGACTCTTGCCAGAGGCCGCAATATAGCCCGGCCATTAATATGGTCTAATGGCTAAACGCTGTTTCTGGGACCTCTCCATGGGTGATCATACAGATAGAATGTGCTTAAAATTATTGGGGGGGGGGGGTGGAAGGGCTTTTAAATTTAAAAAAAAGGTGTCATCTTATACATGAACAAATCAGGTTATTTGTTTTAGCCTTCTATTCTGAAGAGCAGTAGCCACTGCCCCAGCCACACCAGCTGGCTTGAGAAACATCTGTTGATTGGATGATAAAGCTCTGCTCCATGGAATTAGTGACCAGTGGTGGAAGACCTAACTCTGTCTTTCTTTTGAGGATGGCTTCTGCCATGGCATCAAACAGCTCATGCACATTGGCAGCAGATTTTGCACTAGTCTCAATGTACTGGATGCCATGTTGGTCAGCAAACGCTTGAGCTGAAAGGTCAGAGTTGAAATGATTGAGGGAATTTGCATGCTACAGTTTAGACATCAGGTAAAGGTGTTGTGTGTTTACAAATTAGTGCCTGTGTTTAAAAAAATGAAAGTAATTAGTGATTAGAAAGAATTATCATCACAGCCCTACCGACAGACCCATAGGTTCTCCGATCTTCTCCTCCAAAGCTTCACTAGTGTAAAAAAACCGATGACGCCTGTTCTGGGTTAATTAATAAAATGTTTGTCCCTTCAGTGAAATGTTCATTACTTGCAGCTCCAGGCTGCACCCCCATGTCCATCAGTCTAGACAGGGATATAGAGTCATGTCCTTTGGCATGCTTTTCGGTACGGTAAGTGCAGCGCATTACATTCACATTATCACTTCTGTCCAGTACTGGGCCAGCCATAGCAACTGCAGTGTCAGCAAGATAGTCTGCACGTTCGTTCATTTGAACACCCCCATGACCTGGCACAACGATGAAGGTTATGGCAGATATTCGTAAAATGCTTAGTGTTGCAATCCATTCTTTTCTGATATATCCAGCTTGGATTTTTTAAAGCATATTCATCGAGTCACTAAGAATGCATACGTATGTGAACTTTTGAGTACCAAGCTATAACAAACACACACACACACAAATGATATTTCAGCTGTAGTGAAATATTAGTTAATTAGTTAGTTAGTTAGTTAGTTAGTTAGTTAGTTAGTTGGGTTATCCTCATTGCACTCCGGACATGTCCATAGGTGCTCAGATCCTCCCCTCAGTATGAACCCCGACGTCCAATGGCTAATAGTACCAGTTCTATGTTGATTAACAAGTCTTCTGGCGTCTCTGGTGTGCGTCTCGTTTTTTTGATGTACCGATCTTAATTCCCAAGTCTGACATTCTGGCGAGTGATGTTGATTCACTGCCACCAAAGTCCTCTATCCTTCCCATTTCTCTGAGGGCATTGATAATATCAGCATGATCCATAGGCTGACCGTCGGTAGTGATAGCGGATCCAGCCAACCTGTCAGCTCTTTCATTTCCATCGACGCCTGCGTGTCCCGGAACAAAAATAAAGTGTGACTCCCACGCACAGTGGACTTCTGTAATGATTCAAGCCATTGTCTTCGCACTGAACCTGCCTGAACCCTCCGGGATCATACTCATTGAATCACTGAGTATACACACGCGGGTGTATTTTTGTGTTTCAAGCCAGGCAAGCGCTTGCGTCACTGCCATCACCCTCCATCGTCATGCTGCTGGTTGTCATGGAGAAGGCGCCGTTGGCTTCTTTGACTGTTCTGCCCGCTGAGCTTGCTGTAAATGCCCATGCGCTTCTTCTTTGGCGTATAACGGATCCGTCTGTATAGATTATTGCATCTGCTTCGTCTGAATTTTCACCGATGAGAGCGTTGACCTCTGCATTAACAGCAACAGGATTCTCTTCTCTACATCGCCTGTTGAGTGGACAATACAGGAAAATGTACAAATAAACGCCTGAGGCACAGGTTCCATTCTGCACCAGGTATGATGTCGGTTAGGCTGCATATTTGCCTAATAATCTTCTGCCCGACCTAGCCACGATTTCCCCCTCTTCAGTCCTGTCGCCCTTTTCACTAAAAGCGCTTGATGCAGTGGGTGGGGGGGGGGTCTTATCAGCACATATTTTGGAGATAAGCCCCAGCCCTCCATTATATCCTGATCCTTTGGTTCATTGTTGGAAAGTCAAGTAGATACCTCATGCTCCACAGAGATGTGTCTCTTGTACATCCCAAATATATGCCGCATGGCTTTTCATTTTGCACCTTTTCGAGTCGTTCAATCTGGGTAGCACTGACAGTTGAGGATGGCCAGAGCGTATATTCAATGGGGGGGGAAAGGACCAGACCGTAGAATAGAAGTATTAGTAGTCTTTGCTCTCTATATTGGAAGCAGCCATAATCCTCATTGCAGATAGACCTTTGCGTGCTTTTTGTTTATCACTATGGTCAACGTGTTTTTATTCCTGAATGACAAGCTGCGATCCTAACCTCACCCCGAGAACCGCCATAACATTAGTTCTGATCAATACACTATCACGCATTTTCACTTCTGGTAAGTCCGACTTGACAATGTGATTGTTCAAAGAGAACCATGACACTGATGCCTTCGAAGGATTGACATAGGCATTGGAACCATCACACCAGGCTGCAATTCGATCGAGTTCTAAATTAGTAAATAAAAGACTAATATGGTTCCTGGAGACAAACTCAGTAATAACCACCACCCAGACAGGATACAGACAGCACAGAAACACAGAGGACCAGTTGACATATCTGACACAGGAAATTGAGAATGCCTTCCAGGAAAAAAAGAAAGTTCTTGCTGTCTTTTTTGACCTCTCTCGTGCTTTTTTATGATACAGTTTGTGGAAAGAAGAAGGCCTACAAACTAAAACTGCTACAGGCAGGAGTTGTGCACAACATGTACAAGTGGATCAAAGACTTTCTTTTCCAAACGCAGAGCCAGATTTCAGAGTTGATGGACACATTTGCAAACTGGCAAAACTTAGAGAAGGAGTTCCCCAGGGCAGTGCTATATCACCACTCTGTTCCTGGTTTACATTAATGATATCACAGCAACCTGCCCACCGTAGCACGTTTTTAATACCCTACATGCCGATGACTTTGCAGTTTTGGACAGCCTCCGAATACACTACCACAGCCTCATATCTGTTACAAAAAAACTGTGAAAAATGTTAGAAGCCTGGACCGAAAAGTGGGGTCTAAAGCTAAATAAATCAAAAAGCACAGCATCTCTTTTCTCTCTCTCCTCCCCAAAAAAAAGGAAAAAATCGAAATTTGGATTAAAAAACCAGCTCATTCCACAGACTGACACTCCTACCTTTCTGGGCGTTACACTTGATTCGCGACTAACTTGGAAGTCAACATGTAGAAGCGGTACAGGGAAAAGCATTCAAGAAGCTGGCAGTGATGAAAAAATTTAGCGGGTACCACATGGGGCGCTAACTCTAGAATCCTAAAACAATTATAATACTGGAGCAGTCAGTAAGGCCAGTCCCCCATGGAATATGCCTCCACTGCATGGGCTGCAGCAGCCAAGACCCAACAATGGGAAAACTGGACAAGGTTCAGAATATGGGATTAAGGATTGTTCTCGGAGCCATGAAAACCACCCCCATCAGAGAAATAGAAAAGATAAGCAGATACTGAACCACTCGAACTCAGAAGACAATACAAAACTCTTTTACAGTATGAGAAATTAAAAGACTTGAAAGTCACCCACTGCATTTTTAAATTTCAAGGAGAGAACAAAAAACAGACTGAAGCGTCAGAGCCCCAACCACCTTGCTAGAGAACTGTAAGCAGACAGCACCCAGATCTGCTTGAAAGAGATGTTGCACTGTGCGAAAAACTTAGGCCAGAAAACCATGGACAAGCAAGCAAGAGAAGCAAATGTAGTCCTAAAGGTACCATGGAATCACTTCAAAGATGCCCAGACGGAGACACAACAGAAAACCCTGGCTCTTGCTATGCTTGATGAGAAGTATCCTAACACCCCAACTTTGGACTCAGGTCTTCACCGACGGCTCTGCTACAGATGCAGTCAGAAATGGGGGGTTGTGGAATTTACATTAAACCCCCCTAGCAGTAGAGCATAAACTCTCTCTCTCTACCAGCAGGTGACATCTGCACTACTTCAGAGCTGAGGCAACTGCCCTCCTCTCTTCAAGCAGTCCAACATCTCATCACTCAAGAACACAGAGGGCACCAAATTGTTATACTTAGCGACTCATTGTCTGTTCTCCAAGCACTATCCAGCAAAAAACAGACAAAATAATTGCTGATCTAAGGACCACAACATTGGCTTACTCTCCAAGGAAGCAGAACTGGTCTTGCAGTGGATACCAGCCCACTGTGGTATTCAAGGAAATGAGAGAGCAGATGAGTTGGCAAAAGCTGGGAGTAATCTTCCACAACCTCATCCACCACACAGCTACAAGGAAACCAAAACAGCGCTAAAGCAGTCTTTCAAGCGGGAGTGGAGAAGGCAGAATGGAGATTACAGACCAAGAGAGTGACAGCATAAATAAGCTCAACAGGAAAGAACAAAAACAATCAATTCTTAGACTTCGGACTGGACACTGTGGTCTTCGAGCACACTTGTACATGATAGGCATAAAAGAATCTGCTGCCTGTGATTGTGGAGCAGAAGACAAACCCCTGAACCATACTGCAGTACTGCCCTTACCTCTCCCAGCAAATGAGACTGTGGATCTGGCCCAAACGGAGCCACATTGCAAGAGAAGCTATGGGCGACCGGTGGCGACCCTTAAACGCACAATCCTATTTGTGACCCAGACGGGGACTCAATGTTTAGCATGACTGATATCGAACGCAGAAGAAGAAGAAAAGATCGAGTTCTTTGTGTATAGTGCTGGCGATCTCCTGCCTATCACGCCCCTCGTCCGATAAATCAAAATGTCCATCAGCAAATGACCAACGTCCTTCCCTTTCCATTCAACTGCTGCTCATTGATCATCATCACCGTATAAACGTTGAATAAGACTGGTGATAAGCGGTGATCCCTGTGGCAGCCTGGACATATTCGTTTTGCGGTTCTGAGGGTACACCAGCTTTTACCACATCTTAGTACAATCTTTCTCTGGAACAGGACCCGCAGCAATCCAGCGGATCAGAATAGGATTAACTTCTAGTTTAAAGCAGTTATTGCATTAAATAACCATATGGTACTTTATTGTAGGCATCTTCTAAGTCCAACACTGCCGCACATGTCTCTTCTTTAATCTGAAATCCCTCGTACACATCGTAGGCGAAAACTGCAGCATTGAACCATGTCTCTTTATTTAACCTGTACCCTCCAAGTGTTGGTGGGAAACTTATCATGTAGTTTTCCAAGTAGGTGGTCAATCTTTGTGCGACAAATTTTTTCCAAAAGTTTGCCAACAGTATTCTGCATCGAGATGATTCTGTAGCCGCAAATCTTTGAGTGGTCTTTATTAGGCTTTGGTAGTGGGAACAAATAACTATGGAGCCATTCCTCTTGTATCTGGCCACTCTGGATGCTGATATTGAATTCCTTTGCCACGCTTTTCAAATCAGTATTCGACATCATCAGCATGTCGTTGTATCGGATGCCGTCAGGGCCTGGAGCAGTGCTGCGCGATTTCTCGAGGCAAGTTCTTGAGGTATCTGCAGTGATTGTGAGATCAGTGCCTAGCACAGTGTTCTCGCACAGCATCGACAGTTTCATCTTAACCCCTATTCTTGTTGCTTCGTCGTTTTGGTCAGTTTGCTCCAAGTAGCGCGCCAGAAGGGTTTTTCCTTTATCAGCATCAGTTCTCTGCCAAATCAGGTCTGTACCCTGAAAATCAGGGATACCCCTTGGTCGTGCGGCACCGTGCATGCTCCGTTGAAGGCGCCAGAATGTCACAAGAGATCCCTCGGAGCAAACGCTCTTGCAGAATTCGTTCCATTTCGCTGTCTTGGCTTCCTTCGCAATTAACTTGAAAGCCACTGTCTGCTTGTTGACCTCATCTTTCAGACTGATCAGGCGTTCAGAAAGTGACGGATCAATTTTCCTTGCCTTTTGCCATGCCTTGACAGCTTTCCTTTTTTCTAGCCACGCCATGTTGACTACTTCATTCCACCATGGTGGCTGGGCCCATCTCTTCCGCCGTCTGCGATCTGCTCTTGTTTTACGTCGACGGATTTTGCTAATGGCATCTTGCCCTGTACGGTCATATATAAAAGCAGGCACATTGATTACATGACCTTTGTTGTTGCTCTTCTCTACCAGGACGACGCAAGGAAAGTGATCACTGTCGTGGTATCCCAGTGTGCTCCACCTGCATCCTGATGCAATGGAGGGAGACACTAGGGCCAGGTCAATTACGCTGTCAGAATCCCCTTGTCGTGTTGCCATTCGGGTAACCTTTCCGTCGTTCAAGCATACTAGATCGGCAGACACTAGGGCATCCTCCAGGTCTTCCCCCTGTTTATTAGTGATTACATTGCCCCACTGGTTTCCTCTGGCGTTGAAAACTCCGCAGTAAAGGACTTTCTTTTCCTCCGTCTGGAGCAAACTCTGCCATTTCGCTGTATCCACCTTTCCATTGCAGGCGTACACATTGACAATCACAAACTGGGCCGGGCCCATCACTCTGACTGCGTGTACTTGTAAGTCGTCATTATTCCACTCAGACATGTCCACCTCAGACACCGGTATGTGGTCACGAACAAGAAGGAGCTGTCCGAGGTGCCGTCTATTGTAGAAGGATTGGAAGCCCGCAATTTTAACGATCTCGTCACCGAGGTGTGTTTCCTGTAGGACAACAATGTCGTTGCTGTAGATGAGCTTCTCAAAAATGGGTCGGCGTTGACTAAACGAAGCGCAGTTCCAGTAGAGAACACGAACATACTTTAAACTGAGTCTCTCACATTTCAGTCGCTTCCTGCAGGCGCCACCGTGCTTGCCTGTTCGCGTTCTCCTTGTCCGTCTACGGGTTGTTTTGAATTGGTAAATAGTCGCCATCGGACGTCGAATACACCCTGAGGGAAGTCTAAACTCACGTGCATGTACTCCATTGCACGGTTCAGACCCCATTCCGATGAAACTTTCACATTATACGTGAGCGAAAATAGCTAATTTGCGCCATTCGCCTCAACGGACGAAAAAGCGTACCGCCATTGTGGCTGTATACACCGGAAGTTCTGTAGTGAAATATAAACGGATGAAACTATATTATTATTTACTTTATTCACATCATTTATTATGGTGTAGTAGTATCGTGTCTTCTTACTACATCTCCGATCCCAGCCTATCATCTTTTACTCACTTCTCCCCATTTCATGGAGTTTACTCAATTGTTTTTCCCGAAGATCCACCTTTAACATACATTTTTTATTTCCTCTCTTATACTCACAATACAAATGAATGAATGTTTGTTTTATAACATGTGTCAGTTTACCTGTCTCTTTATCCACAGCTCTGTTTGGCATGTCTGTTTTATTTCCTACCAGAATTGCTATACAGTCTGCCTCATTTTGTGTCATGGCTTCCTCCAGCCAGAATGGAACCTTCTTGAAGCTTTCGCCATCAGTTACATCAAAGACAACCACAAGACCCTCAGCTCCGCGGTAGAAGAGAGAAACGATGTTCCTGAATCTGAAATATAATAAGCCAGTATTTATAATTATGATATGGTCGCCTGCCGGTCCCAAAGTCTTGGGTTCCAATCTGCATCAAGGCAGATTTTTCTTCAAAATAATTTTGGCTCCTAGTAATTTAAATGGGTACAAGGAAACCCCTGAGAAGTAAAGGTGGCGGGCGTGATGCTGACCACAACACCCATCAAGTGTCAATGAATCTAGCATCATATGCCTCATGGGCCACTGGCAAGAAAAGGTTTCTTGGCTCAACGATATTACAGTTATGATATTTCTCTATGCTCTTAGATAGGCAGGACGATGAGTGGATTCAAGAGATAACGGTGAGCCGGCAACATTGAAAATACTACAAGAACTTCAAGTCGAAAGAGGTGTCATTAGACATGAATACTGTACGCAGACAGCGGTTTGGGTCATTGCAAAACTCTCCTGTGTGTGCAGTTACCTTTATATTTCTCCTAGGGTATGCAGGCGTTGTCGGCAATGAGAGAGCTGATAGTCTGACAGGTGCTGCATTAATTGAAGATTGCCGGCCCATGGATCACGCAGACATTATCATTGCTCTTAGAGCGATAGAACGTTGTGGGGATTTTGGAATCAACGTGTCAACATCAGTGCTACAATACGAGAGCTGGGAGTAAAGTTTGACACAGCTAAGCATGAGAAGCACGCCGGACGTACACGAAGTCTTGTTAACCAGCATAGGACTGGCACTATTAACCACACGACGCTGATGAATATGTTGAGAGTGGAATCTGAGCGCCTATGGATGTGTCCGGAGTCATGTGAAAATAATTCAACTCATACAAAACTCATAACTGTACAGGTAGCCAAAGAAGAAGAATAAACCAAAACAGAACTGGTGTTATCAGTCGCCTCACGCTGGTGGATATATTGAAGATGGGATCCGGGAGCTTATGGTCTCGTCCGAGGTACAATGAGAATAATTTGTCAATTAACTAATTAACTAACTAACAATTACGCCTCGAATTTGTTTGCTTTTTTTGCTGTCAAGAATAATCTTTCACTTCTTCTTCTTCTTCTTCTTCTTCTTCTTCTTCTTCTTCTTCTTCTTCTTCTTCTTCTTCTTCTTCTTCTTCTTCTTCTTCTTCTTCTTCTTCTTCTTTTTCTTCTTCTTCTTCTTCTTCTTCTTCTTCTTTTTCTTGTTTTTCTTTTTCTTCTTCTTCTTCTTCTTCTTGTTTTTCTTTTTCTTCTTCTTCTTCTTCTTCTTCTTCTTCTTCTTCTTCTTCTTCTTCTTCTTCTTCTTCTTCTTCTTCTTCTTCTTCTTCTTCTTCTCTTCTTCTTTCTTCTTCTTCTTCTTCTTCTTCTTCTTTTTCTTTCTTTCTTCTTCTTCTTCTTCTTTTTCTTCTTCTTCTCTTCTTCTTCTTCTTTTTTTCTTCTTCTTCTTCTTCTTCTTCTTCTTCTTCTTCTTCTTCTTCTTCTTCTTCTTCTTCTTCTTCTTCTTCTTCTTCTTCTTCTTCTTCTTCTTCTTCTTCTTCTTCTTCTTCTTCTTCTTCTTCTTCTTTTTTCTTCACCACACATGTATCTCTATAAGTGGCACCGTCTCCTTTCTTAGACTGCACAAAGGAAATCGTATCTCTATGCTCCAACTCCATAGTACATAGAATGTTATCACAATATGCACTGCATTGCCATTTTCATAAGTAATTAACGCTGTCCCAATATGGGGCGCAATTTGTCGTGATTTTAAAGCCCCATCGCGGCTGTCGGGGGCCCTAATATAGCCTAACGGTTGAACGGGGTTTCTGGTACGCTTGCACGGGTGATCCTTATCCGAATGGTGGCACTTTGTGCCACCGGCTGTTAGTTGCTCGTTGTTCGGTCCTGGTGGGGTACATACCGTTTTCATTCATTATTTTATTTTGTGTGGCGTAGCGGCTAGACCCTGCGTGCGGATCGGAAGGTTGTGGGTTTGCTCCCTGGCGGAGCCGGATTTTTTTATGACCTAGACTCCTAGGTCGACCCAGCATTGAGTGGGTACCGGGTGCAGTCCCGAGAAGTAAAAGCGGCCGGCGTGATGCTGACAACATCATCCATCTTGTGCCGATTGATCTATAAAAATATAGGTCTAGCCCTATATGCCCTTATCGCCTAGAGGCATGGAAAATGGACTTTTTTTTCGGTGATTTGATATCATTGGCGTATGCAGTTCATAGTCAATTCCTCAATTCCATTCTAACCTGTGTATTTAAAAAAAAAAAATACTGTGTATAATATCTAAAAGAAGAAATAACTGGAACACATTACCTCTCCTGCCCTGCCGTGTCCCACAACTGCAGTTTGGCAATCTTGCCTTCCTGAACCAAATCCTTCACCATGAAATCCACACCAATTGTTGTGTTGTGATTTTCTGTGAATCTGTCATCAATGTATCTTGTCAGCAGGGAAGTTTTGCCAACTCTAGAGTTCCCAATTATGACAATTTTCAACAGATACTGGTCCATGGTGATGACTTCGTAATAGTTGGTGGTGTTCTAATGTTTCAGTGGTTACATTTCTGACATCTTAATGATCAGGATGATCAGGGGAATCTGGCTGCCACCTAAAACATATGGTAAAGACAAGATGGATATAAATAGACTACTACTGGAATGTTTTCTTCTTTTTTTTCGTTCGCATGAAATAAATTATCTATATCTGCAATGCTGTCTCTAGTATGAATTTTGTAATTCACTAAGCGGTCCGTAAAGTTTGACTTCCACAAATGTCTCTATTGGCCAGAAGTTTTGCCTGGAAGCGTTGAATCTGGGACAGTCTTGGAGGATGTGATCTGTTGTCTCAGGTGCCAGTCCACAGGTACACATGGCTGATTGGCCAATCTTAAATTTGTTGTACATGTGGCAGCGAAGTCGACTGTGCCCTGTTCTGAGGCGAAGGATAATGACTTGCTCTGGTCTGTCCATAATATGGTAATCGTCTTGTGCCAGTTTCTGGAAACTGTTACTGGAATGTGAACACCGCACTGGCTGTTGATATTCGGGATTGAGCAGATATGGGAATGTCCCGAGTGTTGTGATCTTAGTTCTCAACTCAGCTCAGCTCAATACCCAGCTGGTTGTAATTTATTGTGAGTTTATGACTTAGTGGTTGCGTTAGTAACGGTCTAGTATTAAACTGGTTAGAAATGTTAAATAATGTCCCAGTCACTGTTTCCAGAAGTAGACGTTTGATCTCTGAGTTGTTCTATGAATGAGTTATCAGATGCCAACTAGTTACATTTTATGATGAGTTGGTGAACCCCGGTTAAGTTAGCGGTGTTCTGGTATTCAGCTGGTTAAATATGCCATTTAATGTATCATTCAATGTTGTTAGTGGCCACTTATCTGTAAATGGTTTGATTTACTGATGATTAGATGCCAGCTGGTTACAGTTTATGATGAGTTGATTTTTTCAACAGTTAATTTAGTGGTATTCTAACATTTAAATGGTTATTTGTGTCATTTAATGTTTTATTCAATACTGTCATTAGTAAATTGATCTATGCATTTTTCAGTTAACCTTCTTCTTCTTCGCGTTCACCATCTGTAAACTCTGGCAGAAAGTTCTGGTTGTCATTCATTTTTGGACCGCAGTCCTGTTCCAGAACCTGAGTACTGCGTGTACATCCGTTTTACAGATCTGACACCTTCGAATGCAAACTGCTGGTTCCTTGCTCTCAGGCAGATGTACTCTGACTTCGAGGGAAGTTCTTTTAGTTATATGTGATGTTAACTGGTACGGTAATGAGAAGAGCTCCACAGCAGGAGTATGCACAAAAGGAGTTACCGATCATCAATTGGTGGGTACCGATCATCAATTGGTGGGTACCGATCATCAATTGGTGGGTACCGATCATCAATTGGTGGGTACCGATCATCAATTGGTGGGTACCGATCATAAATTGGTGGGTACCGATCATCAATTGGTGGTTACCGATCATCAATTGGTGGGTACCGATCATCAATTGGTGGGTACCGATCATCAATTGGTGGTTACCGATCATCAATTGGTGGGTACCGATCACCAATTGGTGGGTACCGATCATCAGTTGGTGGGTACCGATCATCAATTGGTGGGTACCGATCATCAATTGGTGGGTACCGATCATCAATTGGTGGGTACCGATCATCAATTGGTGGGTACCGATCATCAATTGGTGGGTACCGATCATCAATTGGTGGGTACCGATCATCAACTGGTGGGTACCGATCATCAATTGGTGGTTACCGATCATCAATTGGTGGGTACCGATCATCAGTTGGTGGGTACCGATCATCAATTGGTGGGTACCGATCATCAATTGGTGGGTACCGATCATAAATTGGTGGGTACCGATCATCAGCTGGTGGGTACCGATCATCAATTGGTGGGTACCGATCATCAATTGGTGGGTACCGATCATCAATTGGTGGGTACCGATCATCAGTTGGTGGGTACCGATCATCAATTGGTGGGTACCGATCATCAATTAGTGGGTACCGATCATCAATTGGTGGGTACCGATCATCAGTTGGTGGGTACCGATCATCAATTGGTGGGTACCGATCATCAATTGGTGGGTCCCTCATCGACAGTTATGTCTCAATTGTCAATTTATCTGATGATCTTATTTTTTGATATTGTACACATTGCAATTTTCTGAATGACCGAGGAGTTCTAGTTTGGATAGAAATGATTCTTTGTGGCTTTCCTGTTAGAATATAAAAAAAAAAAAAAATAAATTCATGTGTCGTTAAGTTTCAACATTTAATTCATTTAGGAGCAAGCGGGCATTTATTTAAACGTTCTTTTTTTAAGAAGTTGTTATTTTGAATAATAACAATTTGTGTCTGATGAGTTAGTATTATAATAATATGAAACAGAAAGTCTTTAAAATAACAAACCGGACAGAATGGTTAATGAAACAACTAGATGGGTCAAAAGTACATCTGAAAGATATACCATGTCGGTTGTAAACAATAGTAAACGACTGCATTTTAAGTTGCAATTTACTTAATAAGTTGAACTGTGAGATGACAATTAAGTAATTCTGGTGCGTCCGTGACATTTAGGCGTTGCGAGTCCGACTAGTAATTCCAACATACTGTGATCGAAATCTTCTGCTGGCTGCGTGGAGTTTTATCATAGTATGGGGATTCGTAGTCGACCCAGCCTAAAATGGATGTATTTCATGGGGAAGTAAAGACGGTTGTCGTAATGCTGCCGACCACATTACCCTCCTAGTACCGATTGGTCTGTAAAAATATAGGTGCTCTTCCTATATGCCCGATGCGCCTAAAGGTGTGAAAAGAAATCTTTATATTGTTTACTTTATTCTTTTTTTTCAGCATTTTAAGCCCAAAAAGTTTATTCCTGCAGATATCACTTGGCTCCATTCATCTCTGCCTTATTCTTATTTTTCTTCGATCCTTCTGTCAGAAAACTTATATCAGGAGCCGGTAGCCTTTATGAAAGCTATCCTCCAGTCCATATCTTCTTAATATATCATAGAGCTTTATCTTCATTGTGGTTGGAACAGGCCAGAAAGCGTCTTGTTGTCAGCATACATTCCCCATGCTCAGCATTTTAGGGTGCCACGCTGCTGGAACACGTCTCCGTGTTTCTTACACCTACAAGTTTAAACATATGTTGACGACGTCTGTTGTGCCATGTCCTTAGTCTGAATATAATACATTGTCCCTCTCTAGAGAGGCTTTGCAGCGAGTCTTGGATATTCATCTGTGTGACTGACCATCTCCTTCCAGTTGGTGACTTGAAGTGTTTGGAGGTTTCCCTAAAAATTATCTTTCTACTGTCTTTTTGGTCTGCCTCGTGTTGCACTCTCATTCAGCTCTTTTGTGTATGCATTCTCCCCCCCCCCCTCTCTCTCTCTCTCTCTCTCTCTCTCTCTCTCTCTCTCTCTCACCCCTCTCTCTTATTTATCCATCTCTATCTCCCCCTGCTAAATTTTCTCTATATGTCCCAACTATTGCAGCCTATAAGCCCTCACAATGCCAGTTATTAGTGTTGATTTAAACAAATTGTGAATTTCAGTTATTGCCTTTGACTACCATTCTGTACAAAAGTATGAGCAAGCGTGTTGTTTTATCATTATACATATTCATCAGACTTGGCTGGCGAATCTGCAGAAATCCTGGCAGTGATGTGATTAACTATTTCACTTCTAGGCAAGTTTTATTTTGACTCATTCTATTCTAAGAAAATGTACTCTAAATAAGGAAAGTTAGCATCAAAAGGAATTGAACTAATTACAGCAGTAATTAGAAGAAATTAAAACAACATTTGAAGCAGAATGGGTTAGCTTAACAATAGGATGACATATTGTATTTTCAATTAAAAATAGAATATCATGACGCTAAAAACACCTGATCTGTAACCTGTTTAGTATTAAATGAGTTAAGAGTAGTGACAGTAGTAGTATGTTTATAGCAGTAGTAGCAGAGTAGTAGAATAGTTAAAGTAAAGGTAATATTGTTGTGGTAATAGTAGTATAGTTGTAGCAGTATAGTTATAGCAGTAGTAGCAGAATAGTTGAATAGTTGTAGTAGTAGTAATATAGTTGTAGCTATAGCAGTGGTATAGTTATAGCAGCAGTAGTAGTTTATAGCAGTAGTAGTAGTGGTGATAGTAATGGTAGTAGCAATAGTAGTATATCTGTAGTTTTAATAGTAATATAGTAACAGAAGTCGTAAATTTGAAGTAGTAGTACTTATAGTGTAGTTGTAGTGGTATAGTTATAATATTAATTTGTGTAGTAAAAGCTTTAGTAGTAGTAATAAAGTTGTAGTACTAGTGTAGTTGTAATAGTATAGTTGTAGCAGTATAGTTTTAGCAGTAGCAGTATAGATGTAGCAGCTACAGTGGAAGTGAAGTAACCAACCAGTCACCATGTTAGACAATGCCCAGTCACAAGACAGATCGATAATCACAGTAATTTTTAAGGAATGCGGCCGACTATAACTAGGATAATACATATGTGGTATGCAAAGATCATATTCAAATGGTATTTAACTAACGGAAAACACAAACCATCAATAAGACTATCAGATATAACAATAATTGAGATAAAAGAAACCATACAGTCACTTTGTTTACTTTCCGGACATCAATGTTTGAATGAATAACGGGAAGTTCCGGATCTAAATTTACTACATGACTTCATTCTGATAAGTTGCGGATCTTTTACAAGACGTTGCAGAACCAACCCCAGCAGCCCCTGGCTGTTGTGTGGTTTTTTTTTAGACAAATTTACCTCCAGTAGTTTGCCATTCCCCCTGGACGGTCGGCTTCTTAAAACCACTGTCGAAACCAACGCAAGGCGCATAGCCCGCAGCTGGGATCGAACCCGGCACCCCGGCATTACGAAACGTTCGCATCGACTTAGCCACAGAGCCGACTTATTCTGATAAACAAACTGTAATTTAAAAGAAACAAGACACAAACAAAAGATTGCACAATTTATTGC